TCACATGAGGAGAAACATGCACAGACATGGAGATGAACACACATATACACCAGACTGATGAGAGGCTGAACTGAGGTGGTGGACGCAAATACTAAAAACAACTGAGGTGTCAGGGCGGTGTTTCTGTGGAAAAAAAACTGGTGTGGAAACTGCCTCCACAGAAGAAACAATTTGTTTGTCACACTTGAAAAGATGATTTGTGGCCACTAGTAGAGTTTCAGGTTGTCTAGGTAACCTTTTAATGTATTTATTACCCTGTCAGGTGTTAATCAATGTTATCCTGTCCTCTCAGTGATTTCTACTTCAATTGCTTTTTTATTTTGAGTTTTCTTGAAGTTGCTGAATTTGAATGCCTTTCTATGACCTCTGGTCACATGACTGCGTTTCACTTATTGTATACATGTAGCGTAACAGCCAGTGACCACAACCAACAAACAGCACAAAACTCACATCACAGCTTAAAATGCTTCTTTCCCTCAGCTATTAGATCACTGAACTCTCAAGGGGATAATTAGATGAATTTTTCTATGACTGTTGATTTTTGGACACATGTCCTTGTTATTCTATTTGTTTATTATATATGTTTTTTTTGTTTTTTGACATCATAGTTTGCTAATTTGTGCCTGCGTCACATCTAACGAGGAACAATGTTTGTGATTAGTTGAGTTTGTAAATTTTTGTGTATTAATAAAGTTGTCTGAATCTGATTTCAGAGTGAGTGTGTGTGCGTGTGTGTCTATAAGAGTGAAATTAGAGTCCTACCTCCATCATAGAGCCCCACAGCGCCATGTCCTGTCCGTGAGGCTGGGGAAGGAGCTGTGCGTGCGAATGGGTGTGGACATGGTGGCGGGGGTGTGTGTGTGCGTGGTGGGTGTCCAGCATTGCCGCCTGAGGTGGGTACAAGGCGCTAGGCACAGAGGGGAGTGTGTGAGGGCCTGGATAGCCTGCCATCTGAAACCGAAGTGAAGACAGGGACAGAGACACAAGGTCGTCCTTAATGTTTTGATTCTGAAAAATCTCAAGACGTTGACGCAATTATAGCAAGTACACATGCAGTGAAAGAGCTGTTGAGTTCGTCTACATACCTGATAGTGTCCAGGATGCTGGGGACTGGGGTAAAAACCTTCACTTGAGCGAGGACTGGGATAGCCAGGTCTGCTTGGCTACAGAGGTGGAAAATGAGAAAAAAAGGAAGAGAAAGATAGAAAGAAAGATCAAGGAAAGGTATTTTGAGATACGGAAAGACAGGTGGGAAAAACAAAGGTGCAGTTATAACACTTTATATTTGTAACAATTATATTTTCTCCAAAGAAATGTTAGAAGACACTTCATTCAGACAATCAACACACAAACCCCCCCAGGAGCTGTTTGTGTGGCCGGGTTAGCTGTCAATCAAAACAGGGAACACCCACTGGGCTGCAAGTACAGCAAGCTGTTAGTCGAACGACTACAAACAACGACACCCATGGAGAACTGCTAGACAACTATGAGACAATCTGTTTCTCACATGTTAGACGTGATGCAGGTGAGTTACATGTTCACCAAGACCTCTCTTTCAAGCACGCTTATGAACTATCAAAGCAAAAGGAGTTTAAAATATTCCCAATAAGCAGAACAATCGTCTGCTCTGTGTTGTTGGCCAGAGGAGCAAAGTTTAGCAGAGATCAGCAGCTCTCTAACACAGGATACTCTTCCTCTCACTCGTAGTTTCAGCTAAAAACAGAAGTGCTTGGTGAACCCACGGTGTTGTTTCCTCTGCTGCTGGTTGATGCACAGTTGATGTTTTCCCTTCTTAGAATGACTGGACACATTTTTTTCTTAATGATTTGAACTTCTCTAACACATTGAGCTCGTTTCCAGCACGGCAGTGTTGTAACCTCTACCTTCCACAGTCTCTCATAGTAGCTTTCTCTGGACCACACCTCCGACAGCAAGACGAGAGACAACGACACATGAAGAGGGAGGCAGAATGCAAAGAAAGGCAAAGTGGGATAATAAGGAGACAAGGAAAGAAAAGTAAAATGGGAAAAATAAACAGAAAGGGAGAGGGAGAGAAAGGACAAAGAGAAGCAGACAAGACAAAGACACTGAAGACGAGACAAAAACTGGCTTCAAATGTTCAGACACAGTCAGGGCAAACGATGGCAACGTTCAGCCTGTTTGTGGACAGGCTCACACACGGAAGGGTTTACATGAACAAAACTATATCTTGGAAGGTTAAATCTGCACCGAGCAGATTAATTTTCCTTTGGCAGTCAATCCACAGGGAGGGAGGTTTCCCTGGGAATACCCAAGATAAAAATAGGAAGATAAACACACGGGGACAGACAGATGGGAAATTAATCACACCGGCTAATAAAGCCAAACATTGGCTAATATCTGCAAAGCTTTGGGTGAATAACTGAATTTCATCATTAATGACCAAATAAAGAAAGGATTTTGGATTAACTGCACCACCTAATGTAAAAACATAATAGTTACAGGAGTTTAGACCATCTGAGAAACAAATAAGCTGATGAACTTCTGACGTTCATGCAGGTCTGACCATTGCAGCCATGTGCAACCAGCTAAGAGGTTTCTATGACCTTGCTCAATGAGTTGCTTTGAATTGAAAAGGTTTATGTACATGAGCAGGAAATGCCTTCATAAACACCATAAACTTTTTTTGGTGTTTGAGGTAATTGTTACTACACAAAACTGCAATAAGCGCATGCGGATTTGGTTTGTTCTGTAAAATGGTGCTTGATAAGCAATTTATCTTCATTTTTAAACTACATTTAGCATTTACAGCACTTAGCATTTATATGAGATTTTCAACTCAAGCAGCATCAAATAAAGCACATAGAGTTAAAAGCTCATAGTGGGCCACCACCATGTTACAATCTAAATCTGTTCATCATGTTAGTGTTTGTGAGCCTGTCCCTCTGAAAGTGCTGAGGTGAGATATAGTCAGGCCCATAAGTATTTGGACAGTGACACAATTTCTAATATGTGTCATAAACATTTACGGGAACATTTTGTTAAATCCCTTGAATTAAAACTGGATTTGAAATCAACTGTGTTCCAAAAATGTACAGCTCGAGCACTCTTAGTGGAGTGTTCGGCTAGTGCGCCTTTCGTGTTATTTACCAAATTTATATGCACACTTTTCATTTCAGCTCCGTATGATAGCCTGTAAAACATTTTTGCTGCTCTTCTCTTTATTTTCTTTAATCTAAATGAAACAAAAAAGGAGAAGGGGGGATAGATGTGGTTGAAATGCAAGATTTTTTGGTTTGAGATGCTGCTGATGTAAGGTTCAGAGGTTCTGAAATCCAGTTACTACACCTTTGAACAGAGTATGTCATTTAAAAATACAATTTCTGCACAGCACAGTTTGGAAAAACAGTAAGTGGAATTTTTATTTATTTTTGAATCAAT